GGGTGGGGGGGGGAGGGGGGGGGAGGAAGGGGAAGGGTGGTTCAATTTTCACAGTTTCAACAGCAGGACTGAATGGGGAATCAAAAAAACACACAAGGCAGGGAAGGAGAGGGGAGGGGGAGAAGGGCAGCGTGCAGCCATGATGGAGAGCCGGGCTGGGGCACCCACTCCACTCGGCGCAGGGAAGGGGTGGAAGATCTCAGATGGAGAGAAGCCCTTCGAAGGGACCAGCCTTACCTTTAAATTAAGTGTTTTGAACAGAGCTTGCTTCAGCTCCTCAGTGATAATTGTGCTAATGAAACACCAGCTAATTATTGAAAACATTATTATATATCTTTTTTTTTTTGCAGCTGCATAATAGGATCTTTATTTATTACGCCTTCATTAAGCGGCAGAGGAGTCCTTTAATGAATGTTTGATTAACACAGTATCAGTCCTCTTACGGCCAGGTGAAATACCTCATTTCAGGAAAGCCACCAGAATCCGCTGTGAGTTCAGATCCCTCCTCACCCCCATTAGTGGAGATACCAGTTTAAATCAGCTGGGTTCCCAAACACGGCAGGGGGACACAGCATCTCTTCACAGCACCAGAAGTCAGTCTTCCCCCACCCACTTGGAAAGCACGTGTCATTTTTCACCTTACTGGGTTTCCCTTTCCTCAGGGGTGGCTCTCCCAACGCTCCTCGGCACATCTTGGCAGCGTGGCAGTGCCTGGTCCCGTCCCGCGGGGCTGTGGGAGGTTACATGCTGTGGCAGGAGGGCACAGGTTGTCCCACCGGCTTAAGTTCTTGCCTACAGGGCGGATGATCTTTCCTCCAGTTGCTACATGGGCTGCAAAACTCATCCCAATCTAGGCTGGGATGAAGAGTTTAAGACCGATCAGCTCTGGGATCTGGATGTTTGGACAACGGTGTCTTGCTAGCGATGTAACGGACACTTAATTTAAAGTCTTTGGTTGCAACAGAGAGATATGGAAAAGCCATCAAAAGAGAAAACATGGAAACACTTTTCCTTCACAAGGAAAATCCCACTGAAACCGATAGGAGTGCACAAGGTAAAGGATGCAAGAAAAACACCATCCAAAATCCCTACTGTGGGAGAAGGGACTGTTCTCTCTGGTTAAAGCCCAGAAGAAGTCCAAGTCCTTATTTCTCCGAGGATGCTACATCCAGAGAGCACGTAATGTCCTGCAGAGGAAAGGATGGAGGGGCTGGAGGACCTGGGGTGCCAGGGAGGGAGGGGGGTACAAAGGAGGGGAAGGAACAAACCCACCAGCGAGGACAGCCAGGGACAAGGGGACACGAAACTGGGAGGATTACCAATGGAAGAATACACTTTGGAGATATAACATTATTAGGAAGTCCCTCAGGAGAGGAACTTTATGCCTGACAAAAAGGAGTCATTGGTTGCTTCAGAGAGAAGTCCCCAGGGCAGGAACCTGAGAGGTCAAGCAGCAATTTCAAATTAGCAGCTCAATCAAACGGAGTCCCCTGCTCACCTTCCCCGCACCAATGCCAGGCTCGAGTTAAATCGGAGAACGCGTAGTCAAAAATAACCACGTTGCATAAAGTCCTGCGTGCACCTCTTACAAGAGAAAAGCAGGTTACCAAATAAAAAGAAAGAAGGAAAAAAAAAAGAAAAAAGAAACTCAACCCTGCAAAATATATTGCTCCATATTTAAAGTTTGGAACAGGTCCTTTTTGTTTCTCCACTGCTTATATACATCTGCTGCCTAGCAACTGGGGCTGCAAAGCCATGCACTAAAATTAACGAGGTGCTTGCAGATTGAGGAAAGGCACTCAAGGACCAGGGAGATAAAGGCAGCAGCCCCAGGATTGTGTTTCAGCCCAGAAATCTGAAGGAGAACGGAAAAAAAAAAACCCACCACCAAAAACCAAACCCAAAAAACCAACTCAGAAGAAGGGTCATGTGCAATCACAGGAGGGAGACACTGGGGTTTGTTTACAGCGAGAGATGATCTCTCTATTAATTCTGCTTAGGAGAAGATCCTTTGTGTGCTGGCTAGCAAAAGCCAGAATGAGATCTGTTTGCAAAGCTACACACCAGCAAAGCTGAATAAACAGAAAGCGGCAAGGCCAGACCTGGCTCCTGACCTCCAGCAGACATTTGCTCCGCGTCTGCTGAGGGAAACTTGGGTTGAGCCGAAGGATCTCTTGATCCCATTGCAATTTATTGGAAGAATGTGGAGAACTCGGAATAACAATGACGTGGAAAGAAGATTATTATTAAAATGCCATCATCAAAGCCTAAGATATAAAATAGCACTGTCATCAGAGTCACAAGTTATAGAAATCTGGTGCGAGTTCACTGAAATTGCTGTGGTTGGGCAGAATTGGCCAGAGACGGTTTGATCTTTGGAGCCTGCGCTGGATCCTGGTCCCTGCACTCGCCTCTCAACACCAGCACGAGCATCACTGGCTTCAGGCTCTGTCAGTGCTTTCCTGAATCAGAAGTTGCTCCCTGATTTACACTGCACTTAAAGCACATTTGCAGCTTATATGGAAATCCTGGAGCTGGCTTGGACCTGCCCAGCGCTGCCCTGGCAGAGGAGAAGCCGGGATGGGGCAGCCCTGCTGCAAAAACCAGCCGAAAGCAAATCTGGAGGTGCTGCGGGCAGTTCCCCTGACTCCAGGGAAGACTTACCCTGAAGGACATGGTTATTGGAAGAAAATTGCAGTGCATTAAGCCAGGGCATGAATTCACAGGGAGTTACGCCACAGTACCAGCTGGCCGCAAAGCGAGCGCAGGATAAATGCTGCCCAGGGAAAGAGGCGCGCGGCGGCTGGGTGTGCGGGAGCGTGCCGGCGGGTGAGCCCGGGGATGCTCTAGCATGAAAAAACGGGCTGAGCCAAGGACCAGAGGTGCCAGCCTCCCTTGAGGACCAGGGGTTGGAAAAGCGGCCGCTGCATTTAGAGGCTGCATCCTTTTCTCTAAGAAGCGGGTGCAGCAGGTGATCTCCCACTTCGGCGACCTTCAGAGAATCAGTTTGCTAGACTGAACAGACAAAGGTTTGGTTTCGAAGCCGTCATCGCAAGCAGACAAGGAGCTTTTTACCTCTCCTTGCTTGGGCAAGGGAACATTGTACTATTCGGGAGAACCTGGCAGTAACCTTCCCGTCGGCTGAATGGCAGGGGGGATTTACAGACAGAAACAGCTACAACAATAACAATTAAAAAAGAAAAGCACCAACATGGAGAGGCATGATACAAAAAATAAAAAATATTTCTTCTTGCTATCTCCTGGTACAACTCCATTAATTTAACTCTAAACTGTGCTCCAAAAATAATGATAGTAAAAGCAGTTCTGTGCATAGCTGTTCATAGGCTGGTAGGATATTATGATACACAAGCAACAAATCTTAAATAATATTTAGTCTCCCCAGAATGCTTATAAAAATCAGAGATAGTGTGTAAAAGCACAGCCTATACAAGCAGATCCCAGTGAGCAGTTTTAGGTTACATTTCTCCCCCCAACCCCCTGGGCAGGGTGTAAAGGTCCCCTCCCCTTACTGATGTTCTCGGACAGTCGGACAATTTTTGCAGAGAGCAGGTGGGCATCGCAGGTCCCCCACTCTGGGGACAAGGTGACATGCTCCCTCGCTCTGAGTTGGACAGTTGGGAAGGCAGAAAGATGAAAAAAAAAAAAAAGTTGAGTTCAAACCTAAGTGCCCCCCTGCGCTTCCATGAAAGCTTCCAGCAATCCAGGGTGTCTCATGGGAGTTCCCAGCCCGAGGAAGCAGATGGCAGAAACCAGAAATCATGTACTTTAAAATGTGTAGAGCATTGCAGGAAGAGCTCCGTGAACGCATACCATCAAAAAAGATAATCGTGTCACTAATCTCTTACCAGCCTGCACAAGTTTTCAGGAGGGGTTTTTAATCTGGCTGACAAACACGGTGAGAACTGTTTCAAAGACATTGTCATAGCAGCGATCCCATCCGCAGTGCCTGACTCACTGCTGAATTCCCACTCCTGCATTAATGCTAACAATGCTCTTCATTTAAGCCCTTCATTTAGAGGGCTTGCTGTATTAAATTGCACTGTGGCTAAGAAAAAGAAGAAAGAAAAAAAAAATTAAAGAAAACCTAGTATTGTCTCGCACTTTTTTCATGTACCACTCTTGTAAACGTATTTCTGACCATCTCAGAAATCAATTTCCAGGATCTGGAGGCCCTAAACTTTAGAAGAAAGCAAAGGCATGAGCATGAGGACATTACCTCCGTCTGGAAACCCTCTACCAGGATGGCCACCAGCAGGTTAAAGAGAACATAATTCCCAAACGTCATGAGAGCGATGAAGTAGAGAGCAGCCCAGGAGGAGGTTGATGCCATGCCATTGTAGAGGACCTTGTTCCAGTCTTCCTGGGTCAAAATCTGCAGAGGAAGAGTATCAGGAAAATGGAGATACCAGATAATTGTGTGCTGTTTTGCCCAAGCCTGGCTGGGTACCTGTGCTCTGCATGGGCCAAATGAGCATCCCACTTTTGGGGTATCCACCATAGCTATAACCACAGGAGGATAAATCTGGCCAAAGCCACCTTCTGAGCCAGAGTGGCAGGACCAAAGCAACCGTGACTCACATGCTACCGGTAAGAACCCTGCCCCAACTCCCACCAGCACCAAGGATGCGTTCATCTGTAAGGGAGTGCAATGTCGCACGGGTCGGACCTTTCCTTTGGTCAGCCAGAAGAGCTAAAAGTCCTTCGTAGATCCCACAGTTACAGAGCTCAGAGCTGCTAGAACAAAAAACTGCACACGTTAATTATGGGCTTAAACCAGATTGTGTTCTTTGTCAAAATATCACTGCAAATGGTCCTGATCTCCTCTCTATCTCCACCCTCTGCAGGCACTTTCACCCACCCAGCCCATACTCTGCAAATCCAAGAGCCTCCTGCCTTGGCAGCCCCTCCTCATTAGCTTTCTGATTTATTCTGGAAAACGGTCTGAAAACCCCTGTGTTCCTGCACCTGTGGTTTGGGGTCCTCTCCCTTCCACGGCAAGGAGCATCACTAAGCCCTGTCATAAGCTTTGGAAAACAACCCCAGCCCTCGCAGGCCCCAAACACACATGAGTTGTGGCATTTTCCATTTTGTACCTGGAAAACGGTGACAATGGCCCAGAGCAAGGAGTCGAAGTTCTTCCTGTCGGGCAGCGTGTCGCCATCTCGCTCCGAGGCAAATTTACAGCCAAAGAGGTGCATCCCCAGGATGCTGCATGGGAGGGAGAGCAGGGGCTCAACAAGGGGACCACAGTACAAACCAGTAATCATACAGCAGGGCTGACTGTCTCCTGATTTCACCTAGGCAATTCTTTTTATTCTTTTTTGGTTTTTAAAAAAGATGCAACATTCGTTCACTGAAAAACATGCCTCAAGATCATGCAAACCAGTTGTGAATTTGGGTCAAATCTGTCAAAAAGTTTCAACCAAAAAGCATGCCCGCTCCTTATTTTTCTTCTGCTTTGGTGCTTTGGGTTTTTTTAAGTCAAAACATTGTGTTTCAACATTTCCTAAACAAAATGTTTTGACTTTCTGTTTTGCAATGACACATTTTCAGCAAAATATGCTTAAATTGAATTAGGAAGACAAAAAAGGGCTTCTGTGAAATGCCTGAATGAGACATATCAGGGGACCCAAAACAGCTTTTTCAATTTTGACAAGAAAACAGAATACCTTTCATTTTAGACTGATACTAAAAGAATAATTCGGTTTTCCCTGCTCTCGGCCAGTAACCTGAATATTTAAATTATTTACAGCTCTAGTGAGCATCATGTCTGCAAATGATGGGTTTGGAGTGAAACATCTCACTGGGAGAAGGGACGTTATTCCACAGAAGAGACTGGCTTTCTTCAGCCTTCCCAGTGCCTGGATTGCTCGAACACCAGAGTTGGCTGTTACAAGGAGACAGGCTTTTCTCAAAATCTAGACCAAAATCCAAAAATTCAGGTCTACACCAAGCCTATTTCTAACATTTCCACTTCTCAGAAGAAGAGGCCGTGCAAGAGCACAAGCACCACCACGGCTGACTTTATTTTAGGAACATCGCCCTCTCCTTGGCAATATTTTTAGCACCAGGCTTTCTGCTAGTCCGTAAGTAATGGGACCGCTGTCTTGGGGAGATATCAAGGAATCATCCAGCTGAAAGATTCTCCTCGTAAATCATCTTGCAAAGACAGATGTCTCATTTGGCGAGAGTTAAGAGAATTTAGTCAGGGCAGCAAGCCACTGCCAGCACTGGCCAGCGATGCTGTTCCTGGGACCATTCAGCTCGGCCACGTCCCGGTATGGACTCTTATATCTCCTCACCTCGCCATGGGATCCTGTCTAAAAACCCAGAGCAACCTCAGAACGGGCAATCGGAAGTGCTCACCTGAAGATGAAGATGAAGAGCATCAGCAACATGCAGAACGTGGCCACGTTGTCCATGGTCTTCATGAGGACTACAAGCTGGCGCTGGAGGGCTGGCATGAAGCGGACCAGCTTCAAAACTCGCATGAGCCGAAAGGTCCGCAGGACCGAGAGCCCCCCACCTTGCTGGCCCACTATCTCCCACACGCTGAGGGAGAAGAAGAGATCATTGCAGGATGAGAAGACAAAGCCCAACGCAAAGGCGAGGAGGACAGGAAGCAAAGGGAGGGTGAAATTCAGAGAGAAGAGGGATGGAAAGTGGGCAGAGACGCATTGCCAATGCCCCCAGCGAGCTGGACTCCATCCAGGCTTGCAAAGAGCAGAGCCCCACTAGAGTGTCAAAAACATGCCTGCAAATCAGTGGCTGCAGCTGCAGGGGCAATTATAGCCTTTGCACATGCCAAAAAAGCAGAGCTACTTAATCGGGCACTGTTTGTACCATTTGGATCCTAGAGTTTCCCAGGACATCAGGACTGATAGCTTTCTGCTTGGGCCTCTCTCTAAAATGACCATAAAATAACCCCAAGATATGTATTAGCAATCGTGTCTAAGTGCATTAATTTACAGCAGAGAAGCATAAAGTGTCACAGGAAGGTATTTATGCCCGCTCTCCATTACTTTCTGTTTAATTAAACAGCCAAATGAGGGGAAACACACATAAAGAAAGCTCTAGGTTTGTACCTAATCACCACAATGATCCCATCAAAGATGTTGTATGGATTCTTAATGTAGCCAAAAGGACCGTAAACAAGGACTTTCAACAGCATCTCCAGGGCAAAGAGGCTTGTGAAGACTATGTTGCTGATCTCCAGGGCATTGGTAAGCTCCTCCGGCTGGGGAAAGAGGAAGAAGAAAGGGAGACAGTAAGCAGTATGGCTCCGTATCCAAAATTACGCCTGGAAATACAACAAGCCCCAATACTGCAGGTGTAGGAATACCAATGCTACTGGTGTAGCGAGAAAACAGCAATAGCTCACTCAAAGCCCAGGAGAGAGAAGAAAAATACTATCAGAGTATTTAAGGTTTATATATCCGTTGTAAATTGAGCAGGTAAATCCAGACATGGACTTCACGTTAATCGCAGCTTTAGTACCACCTCAGGAGGTTTACGTAAAAGTGGTGTGTACCGAGTCTTAATGCTTTCACATCCTCCAAACCAAGTCACCTTATGCAGAAGAGAAAGTCGGACTGTTTTCTCACATAAATATCCTTTTAGGGCCTGCCTTTTTATTTAGTATCTCATCAAAAGATTTAAGCTAAGATTTTTCAAAAGCAGAGATTTGGGGTGATATAACTGGAATGGCTCAAAACCCCTTATTATCAGGAGCCCCCAAATACTGCTACTGAGGAAGGGCCCGATCCTGGCATTCCAGGCTGGCAATCTAAAAACAGAGGTATGAAAAAGCCTTAACAAACAGACTTCCAGTAATCTTAGACCTGAATTAATACCTTTCATGTTTTTCTAGCATATTTCACAGAGGGTTCCCAACAATGCCTGCAGACACCCAGTGCTGCGCTTTTCCCGACGGGTGGGCGTGCATTGTTGGAAAACATATGGCAGAAGACAAAAACCGGTGGCGTAGTCTGTTTAGGATCAGTCAGTGGCAAAGACAGGAGCAGAATCTGCAGTACCAGACCCCTTCTCCCCGTTTAACCCCAATACACAGCCACAACTGCGTGTTTCTACTTAAAAGCTTCATTAAAATCAGGAGCCGACGTCCTGCTGGCAGATGGCCACGGGGTCGCGTCGACAACGCCAAGGTGCCCCACAGGGCAGTGGGCTGGCACAGTTCACTAAACACCTTACGCACACCGGGTGCTGGATTCCTCTTAGGGGTAGTTTGGCACTTAACTCAGATATTTTTCTAAATCTGCACATGTAACCACCCACGGCTTTCGATGCCTGAACACTGTGGTGAGTTATGGCCAGATGTGCAAGTTCACGGCAGCTACACCACAAGCAGAAGCCAATGTGCAACGCACGTTGTTGACTACTCCCTTCGCTTACATGAAACACCTTCACGGTTGGCCAAAATCTTCCTACAACAGTCCAGGAGCTGCCGTGCCACCGCACATGCTGCGGCACAAGCTGTAGGGTTTGACATGAAGTGACCCAACTCCAACCCAACACCGTGGGAGCCAGGAGAGGGGATGGCTCAGGGGCAGGGTCAATCCTTGATCAACTGCATTTCAGAGCCCCAAAAAACTACAGCGACCAAAGGCTTCACAGATATATGCTGGCAAATAAACAGATAATCCATGCGGGCATTCAACTCTTTCTTTCTCAGAGTTGAAGTCTCCAGGCACAGCTGGCCAAGCCCTTGCAGCTCAGGTTCCTCCAACCCAGCGCAATGGTAGATGGGGACCCAAATTGGTCTGATGTTATCTCAGCGTGGTAGTGTAATCCCTGGGGACTTGCACTGATGCCAGTGGGACCTTGTGATGACACAGCAATGGTCACAGGATAGCAAAGCGGGAAACAGCAGCATTGAAAAGAAAAAGTAATTAAAAAAGAAAAAAAAAAAAGGAGGTGTTGAACACTTCCTATACCTCAAACATCCTCACTGAGGAACAGATCCCTTGGCTAGAGTTTGCCAAACACACCGGACATACAGTCCAAACCACCTCCTCGCTGATCTAGAGCTAAAATACGAATGCTCCAGCTCCTGATATTAAACGCAGCCCTGGTTTAAAATCATATACTTATGGGAACACTCAGACACAAAGTAATAAATAGGCTGAGAACTTATATGTCAAGCTGCACCTCAGGACACTTTCAAATATCTGAAAGTCTACATTAGTCAGAAAAAAAATGCCAACTCATTCATGAGTGCCCCAGCGCCAAGGCAGGCTGTGCTGTTATCATTACTGCAGCAATACTGCTGGAAACGAAATGTGTTCCTGGAAGCTTTCCTTCTCATCCATCAGCACCACTAAGATTTCCACCCTCTGTTCCCCCTCTGTGACCACGCTGCCAAATCTAACCGGCCCCGCAGGCGCAACCCAGTTAAGTCCCTTGATGCGTGAGCAGCGCCCAGCATCTCCCGCAGCCGCGGCATCCCTTCCCCGCGGGGGCTGACATGGAAAATCCAACCAGCCCCAGCAGGGATGCCATGTTAGTAGCGTGGATTAATGAAACTTTGCACTTCGCGAGCACCTTCTGCTTGAAGATGTTATTGGGATGTATAAATCCAGGTGGGAGGCGCTGGCAGGGCACAGCCAGGTGATGTGGGGGCCAGCGCTTTCGCTGCAACTTTTCCAGGACCCCCAGCACCCACTGGAAGGGCTGGGACCCCTCGAGGCCATGAAACATCCCTCCCAGTCCACCCAGCTCACGAGAGCCCCAAATACCCCAGGGACCTGTGTGGGAGGGCTATGGGGCAGCCCGTGCAGCAGGGCGATGCTCAGCACCCGCAGCAACACCGGATCCATCCATCTCCCCCTGCTTCATCCCAAAAAAGCTGCCTGGCCCCCCACTCCTCCTCCACACACTCTCTTCCACTTCCCTTGCAAGAAAAGGTTTTTAATATCTGAGACATTAGGTGCCCATAATAAAAATGAAGAGTGAGATCTCCTGAACCAGAGGTGAAAATTAATATCCAAACCCCTAAGATTAATGGCCAAAATGGATTGAAAGAGGAAAGAAAAACTTCCCTTTCACCCAGCCAGGAGAAGAGGAGGGTCTCCAGGGCAGCCTGGAGCTCTGCCAGGGGAGGGCGAGGAGAGCATCTGCTGGAAGCACACAGCAACCAGACCCAGCTGAAATCAAGGAGTTATTTCGCTTTGGGAAATAACACATTCCTAAACAGTTGAGACTGGGCAACGCGAATTACTCGGAGGATTTTTGCAGCCCTCTCTCCCTCAATCCCCTCGCTCCTGCTTGGTAGGAGGGGTGTCCCAGAGCAGCTCATGAGCCCCCTGCAAGAGCTCTGCATCCCTTTCAAGGCACACATGGCTGCAGCCAGTCCATGGGGCACCTGCCCAGACCCCTGCCACCAGCACTGTTGGGAATTATTTATAAAAATAGAGGGAGGCTGAGATCGTGATCCTGCCCAAGGGGATCACAGCCAGACAGTGGGGATTCAAACACTTCTGAGAACACCAGCTATGGGATTTCCATACAGCCATAGATGGGTATAGATAATAAGACTGTTTATAAGATGCTTCTGCTCTAGAGAAATCACAAACACATCTGAGACTTCTTTCCTTAGACATCATTACAATACAGCAGGAAAGTGGCTTTTCTCTCCCACGGGAATTGAAATTGTCATCCCATCCCAAACAGGAATGCAGAGTTTCAGAATTGGCAAACTGGAACACTTTGTGCGCAAAATTTTGAAAGCTCTCCCCTCCATTTCAGTCCCTATTCCCTTATCCATTTGCTCTATACTGTAAATCAACTAAAATTAAAAGACATAAATAAAAGTCAGCTTCAAGAACACAGAACTTTTTGTTCCCCAACTGTTCAAATTGACATTTCAAACATCTCAGACAATGTATTTCATTTTTTCTTTTTAAGCCGGTTCACTGAAACCACTCCCCTCCCACAAACAGCTTCAAGTTTGATAAACTGCCATTTTCTGACAATAACTGTCTAATCAAAACAATATTGACCAGCTCTAGACATAAGGCACCTGGGAGAGTCACTGACTCTCTGACACACAACCAGCTCCACGGGTCCTCGCCGGGTGTGGAGGAAAAGAGCCAGTAAAAAGCAGCTTTCCCCTCCAAGGGCCACAACACAGCAGCCAGGGGAGGTAGCATCTTCCCTGTGACTAAAGGACACATTTAGAAAACAAACTGCTCCAGGACTCCCCCGAAAAGGGCATTTCGTGGAGAAGCAGAGCCTGGGGCTTCTCTGCAATACAAAACCTCCTACCCACCACCCCAACTACAACACATCTGCCACAGCCTCAGCTTCTCCATTAAAAGAGGAGCCTGCTAATTCTCTCATCAGTAGCAGCAGTGACTAATTAAAAGGAAAGCATCCTATGATTAAGCGAGCAACACCCAGAAAGAGCGAGATACAAGTGCGATTCAGCTGTAGCACGAAACACCAGCTCTTCCTATGAGTCTTTGGTAAACACTGAATTTTGTTTCCAGGACACCTCGCCTTGCTGGACATACAGACACGGTGTCCTGGATAAATCATTCCCTGTTAGCTCTCTGTTTGTGTAGTGTCGATTTGTTGATGTACCAAAGAGCACATTGACAAGCTCTGGCAGCACATAAAATAGGAGCAGACAGCACAGCATCTCTCATAAACACCACGCAGCAAACGAAGGCGGCAGGGAGGAGGCGAGCCACGGGCGCCTGCCCAGACATAACCCAGCCTGGCAGGGTGCAAACCGTGGCGGCGAGGAGGGGATGCTCTCTGCACCCTGCCTGGAGGTTTCGGGCAGGGCTGGCACCAAGCAGGGCGCTGCCAGGGGGGAGAGGAGGAGGCAAGGGAAGATGTCCCCAGGTACTAAATGTTGCCTCGAGGGGTATCTCAGAGCTGGACCATCGCTTTGTCCTTTTTCAGCATTCAGAAATAGGCTGTAATGCATTTCTTTCTTTCTTTTTTTTCTTTTCTTTTTTTTTAAACTGAGTAGAAGCTCACGAGTGAGGTTTCTGATGGCAGAAGGGACTTGCTCCATTTCCATCTGGGCGTGAGATGGTGGCACACGCTACTCCTTCTTGTGTACGGGGCTCAAAGGTGCCTGCTGGGCAAGTATAGCTGCAGGCAACAAGTGGGGAGTAGGTGAGGACAGGACTGGGGTCATTAGAAGCGCAAGCCCCGGGGGCTGCGTTCCCCAATTCCTGAAAGACAAGCCCTGCCGTGTGATGAAGC